TGGTTCACCTTGATATGTCCTCACACAGCCTCTGCTCTACTTTTATCACCACATATTTTCTCTCACATATGTCAGTGAAGCTTTTCAACCACAAAACGGTTTTCAACACTTTTCAAACCGGATGTATAAGGTGGAATAATTAAAATACACAGTCAGCACTCATCTGTAGGCCATTCTCACAACACACAATTATTGAGATTATTTGTGTAATAAAAAGTGTGTTAAATGCACTAAAACCTCACACAACATTCTAACAGAATAGTCGCATGTAGCATTCAATGACAAAGCGTGTGTGCCATCACCATAGTGTCCAGCCCCGCGATGGAACAACTGTTAAATTAAGAGGGTCGCTTTAGTTCACCAGAAATTCCCCTTGGTATAAAAAAATCTGAATACGACTTGAGCTGAAGTGGCTGGATGACACTCGTGAAGTTTTTATCTAAATGGCTAGTTAGCAAGAAAGAGACCACAAAACATGAAATAGAGGCCGCAGTTGTCCAGCGAACCATAGTTTGGACGTTGTTAGCCGAAGGTGGAGGAGGGCGATTTGAAGATATCACTGAGCGTATTTTTCCTTATATGGGCATATTGTTTTCGACTCAGCGTAGCCGCCGTAACACTGGCAACTGTTCGCTAAGAACGGTTGCTAAGGCAAGCTGGCGTTTCCCCCCACAGTGTTTAGCCATATCCTTAATATTGCTCAATTTGGATTCACAAAGACAAATTATAAACACCAGGGAGCGATAAACCACAGATTCTTAAAGCCCAAAAAAAGGGTATTGTGACACAATGTTTACAGAGATAGAGGATTGTTATGTAAATCCTATTTGCAAGGGATTTAGTATAAACCTGTGGTCCGTTGTCTAATTAACCACGGGCCCACCTCTGTGATACTTGCAAGGCGCGTTCACCCATTGAAAGTAAAATGTCCAGTAAATGACTATATTTTCACGCACACCCTCTTGGCAATAGCGAGCACATCACTGACATGCAGATTCGTACTGGAGTAGTAATATCACTGGGCGTTCTGTACAAATACTGGAGAATGTGCAGGCTGAAATTTATTACTTTACAAATTACAGAATGGCGCATTCAGATTGTCATAAATTACACAGAGAGACTAATCCAAGGCGGAATAGGGCTTAACACAGTAGGAGCCAAGAGAGTTGGAGCAAAACTTCATCATATACCTGTTCCCGGGGCTGCATTGAGCGAGCAGTTACATTGTCCATCTACGCTGAACAGTATTCATTGAATGGATTGATTTATAACAAGATCATTTGTTTTTTTTGTCGCATTTGGCAAATCTTTGTTCAACTTTTTGTTCATAAACTGTAAGAAATTAACTGAGAACTTCCCGCCTCCTACTGAGAGCCAGTGGCGGCAGTCCCAATAGAGGGCGCTAGGGCACCGCCCCACCACTCACAACTTGCCATGTTTACCGTTGGGAGAAAACGGTAAAAAAAATAAGAACATTAAAATATTGCGAAAAATTTTAGGTGTGTTTTATTCAGATGTGGAAAAATACGTTATAGGTTATGCTAGAGTTTGGATTAAAAAGCTCATCAACCGTGGTCTGGTCGACTGAGGGACGTATTTCCGCCTCAGGCGCAAAAGATTGCGCCCTGAGCCGTCTATGGACTCACGTTAAAAGTTGGACATGCGCAGTACTCCGCTTCACTGCAAGGAATAAGAACGATTTGGGGCGCAGAGAAGTGCGCCCTGAGGGGCGGGGTTCGCCCGCGAACCTGTCTTGTCACTGTCTGTGACGTCCGTTTACAGTGATTGACAGGTCAACTTGGGAGTTGGAGACGAACTAAAGAAGACCAAAATGGAGAACGAGAAAAACATAATTCATTAGATCACTTCAAAACATACCGTTTTTGAGAGAAATCATACCAAGGAGAAGGTTGGAGGTTAAAGAGCTTGGACCTGATCAGCCCAATATTACCATTGAGTCAGCAGTCCAGCGACAGGGAGACGGTACACTCGTAAACTTTTTTCCAGGACCTGGTTCGCGCCAAATCTTGGCTAGCAGCATGTAGCGAGGGCTAATGCTTTGTTATTTTGCTTTCCATGCCTCTTTTTCAACATCATGAGCTGACCCAGCATGGAATCAAGACTGGTATGACTGATCGAAGCACTTTTTAGAAAAGCAAGAAGCATGAGCAACTGGTCTCCACATGCAAAAATGCCCTCAAAATTACTATGTTAGGGAAGATAAATATTCATCCCACTGGAGGAAAGCTACAGGGTGGATCAGAAAGCATCCCTACCCTGCTGGTAGATAGCTAGTCCCAGCATATTCATAGCCCCCCCATAGAAAATCCACCAGCCGCCACTGCTGAGAAGTTCTGCCCCGTAAAGAATCTTTGGACAGTGAACGTTCTCCATCGGTCCTAATCAAAATTATGTTGTTCAACCTCTTCAGCTGTTGTTTGCGGAGTCGGACACAAAGGGGGGGGTTGTAGGATATATGAAAAGGACACATCTTTCTCACTCAAAGACATTTTGTTGTATACTTGAGACATATTATAACTTCTGGCCCTCCACTGTGTTTAAATCCTATGTGGTTCAGTTTTATTTGTGGGTAAGAATGTCTTATGATAAGTGCCATGGGCAACACCCTTCCCCCACGCTCTACCGAGGGGAAGACTAACAAGACCCACAGGGAAGAAAAAACCATCCTGCTTTGGAACCACGGAGTGCCCAGACCGCCCTGGGCTCTGCTCAGTGCAACCAAGGGCTTTGGCCTCTTATATGGCCTCTAAACCTCAGCACCCACGTTAGAGAGACTCCACAACCCGTCAATAGCCTCCAGCTTCAACTCTGAAGAAAGTTTGCTGAGTTTTGGGGCACCTAGACTGTGGATCGTTGGGAGAGACTTGGTTTCAGCCACATGATGCAGCCGCAATGGTCCAGCCCCGTGGACAAGAAGCCTCCATCACACCATCAAGTACCCAAGGAACTGCTATTTCCACCAAGCTAATTCAGGTTTGTATGATCTGCTCTCTGATAACACACAGCTTGTTGGCTTTATTAAAACCTATAACTATCAAAGAAACTTCTCTTACCAAGGCTGAACACATGCAGGCCTCAGCCTATTACCAATCCATTTCATAGACAAAAGGTCTTGCTTAGCTCAACTTTAGCCTAGCATTTTAATAATGAATCTTGAAATCAACGTTCTCCTTCTTTGTTCAGCCCTGACAATTTGTCATATTTTCATATCTAGTCGGTATTGTTGTATACTTCATTAAATCGACAAAACCATCTTTGTCTGAAAGTGAGATATTGGTACTTTTAACTCCAGAACGTGGGTCACGGATTTGTAAAGAATTCACTACCTTCAGATTCTATTGAAAGAGAATTTGGACTAATTAAGATAATGAAAGGACTCAGAGAGTACTTACTCATAAATAGCCAATAATTGAGATTGTGACGTCATTTCACTATATCAGTTGGGAGTTATTCCGTGGTGCCCCTAAATAAAGCCATTATCCAGTATTGTATGTAATTTAAAACTAAAAACAACCAGGAAAACTCGTGATAGAAGGACAGAAAGATAGTGTTCTGAGGTCGAGATGGATTTAATTATAAATTCTGCTGTTTGGTGTTTAGAGTGTGTGTGTAGAGTTGTGTTAGAGTGTGTGTTAGACTGTTAATTAGAGTTTTGTGTTAAGTGGTGTGTTAGAGTGTGTGTTAGAGTGGTTTGTTAAGTGGTGTCAGAGTAGTGTAGAGTTGTGTTATAGTGTGTGTTAGAGTGTGTGTTAGACTGGGTGTTTAGACAGTTAGTAGAGGTGGGGGTGTGGAGAGTTGTGTGTTAAGTGTGTGTTAGAGTTGTGTTAAGTGTGTGTCAGAGTTTGTGTTAGAGTGTGTGTTAGAGTGTTGTCAGAGTTTGTTTAGAGTGGTGGTATTAAGTGTGTGGTAGAGTGGTGTGTGTCAGAGTTTTGTGTTAGAGTTGTATTAGAGGGTTGTGGGGTGTTTAGGAGGTGGTGTGAAGGTGTGTTAGAGTGTGAGTTAGACTGTGTATTCGAGTTTTAGTGTGGAGGGTGGTTTAAGAGTGTTGTTAGAGTTTTTAGAGTGTGGGTCAGAGTTTGTTTAGAGGTTGTGGATTAAATTGGTGTTAGAGTGTGTGTTATGAGTGTGTGTTAGAGGTGGTGTGACATTAAGTGTTGTTGTTAGAATGTGTGTAGAGTGTGTGTTAGAGTGTGTGGTAGAGTGTGTGTTAAAGTTTGTGTTAGAGAGTTGTGTTAGAGTGTGTGTTAGAAGTGTGTTAGAGTTTTGTGTTAGAGTGAGTGTGAGAGTTGTGGTGTAGAGGTTGTGGTAGAGTGGGGGTTAGAGTTTGTGTTAGAGGTGGTGTTAGAGTGTGGGGTGTAGAGTTTTGTGTTAGAGTTGTGTTAGAGTTTGGGTTAGAGTTTGTGTTAGGAGGTGGGGGTGAGAGGTTGTGTGTGAGATGGGTGGGGTTGAGTGTGTGTTAGAGGTTTGTTAGAGGTTTGTGTTTAGAGTGTGTGTTAGAGTTTGTGGGTGAGGAGGGGGTGGTAGGAGGGTGGGGTTAGGAGGTGTGTTAGTTTGTGTTAGAGTTGGTGTAGAGTTGTGTGTAGAATGGGGTAGAGTTGTGTGGGGTAGAGGTTGTGGTGAGAGGGGGTTAGAGTTTGGTGAGAGTTTGGGGTGAGAGTGTGTTAAGTTGGTGAAGTTTGTTGAGAGTGTTGTTGAGAGGTGGTGTTAGAGTGTGTGGTAATAGTTTGTGGTAGAGGTTGGTGGTTAGAGTGGGTGTTTTAGAGTGGGGGTAAGTGGGGTGGTAGTTGGGTGTAGAGTGTTTGTGTGTAAGTGTTGGTAGTGTGGGTGGGAGAGTGGGTGGTAAAGGGGGGGGGGGGTGGTATAGGGGGGGGGTGGTTGTTGGGGGGGTGTGGTCGGGGGGGGGGGGTGAGTGTGGGGTAGTTTGAGGGGGAGAGTGGGGGTGAGAGTGGGGGGAGAGGGTGGTGGGTTGAGGGTGTGTGATGAAGTTTGGTGTAGAGGTGGGGTGGAGATGTGGGGGTGGTAGAGTGGTTGAGAGGGTGAGGTAGAGTGGGGGTGAGTGGTGTGGGAAGGGTGGGTGGAGGGGGGGTTAGTATGGGTGTGTGAGTAGGTGGGGTAGTGTGGTGGGTAAGAGGGTGTGTGTGAAGGTGGTGGAGAGGTTGGTGTAGTGGTGGTGAGAGGTGGGGGGGGAGAGTGGGGGTTAAGGTTGTGGTGTTAGTGTTTTGTGGTAGAGTTTGTGTGAGAGTTGGGGTGAATAGTGGGGGGTTTGAGGGTGTTGAGTTGGGGTAGAGTGGTGTTTGAGGTTGGTGGTAGAGGTTAGGGTGAGTGGGGGTTAGAGGGTGTGTTAGTTGGTGTTAAGTTGGGTAGTAGTGGGGGGGGGTATAAATGGGGGGAGAGGTGGGTGGGAGAGGGTGGGTGAGAGTGGGTGTTTAGTTTTGTGGTTAGAGTGTGTGTGGAGAGTGGGGGTGTTAAGGGGGTTAGAGGTTGGTTGTGTTTGATGGTGTGGTTTGAGAGTGTGGGGTTGAGAGTGTGGTGTAGAGTTGTGTTAGAGTTTGTGTAGTGTTTGTTTAGAGTTGTGGTTAGAGTGTGTGTTTATTTGTGTTAGAAGTTTTGAGAGTGTGTGTTAGAATGTGTGTTAGATTTTGTTAGAGTTTGTGTTAGAGTGTGTGTTAGAGTATGTGGTTAGCGTGTTGGGGTGGGTTAAGTGGGGGTGTTAGGGGGTTAGAGTTTGTTAGAGTTGTGTTAGAGTTTGTGTTAGAGTGTGTTAGTGTGTAGTGTTAGAGTTTTGTGTTAAGAGTGTTGTTAGAGTTTGTGTTAGTGTGTGTGTTAGAGTGGTGTGTTAGTGTGTTTAGAGTTTGTGTTAGGTGTGTGTTAGAGTTGTGTTAGTAGTGTGTGTTTTAAGTTTGTGTAGAGTGGTTTTAGAGTTGTGTAGAGTTTGTGTAGAGTGTGTGTTAGAGTTTGTGCAAGAGTGGTGTGTTAGAGTTGTGTTAGAGTGTGTGTTAGAGTTTGTGTTAGAGTTTGTGATAGAGTGGTTTAAGTTGTGTTTTAGAGTGTGTGTTAGAGTTTGTGTTACGAGTGTGTGTTAGAGTTTTGTGTTAGAGTTTGTGTAAGTTGTGGTAGAGTTTGTGTTAGAGTGTGTTTAGAGTTTGTGTTAGAGTGTGTGTAAGAGTTTTGTGTTTGAGTGTGTTTAGAGTTTGTGTTAGAGGGTGTGTAAGTTTGTGTTAGAGTGGGTGTTAGAGTGTGTGTTAGAATGTGTGTTAAGTCTGTGTTTAGATGTGTGTTAGAGTTGTGTTAGAGTGTGATGTTAAGTTTGTGTAGAGTTTTTGTTAGAGTTTGTGTAAGAGGTTTGTTAGAGTATGTGTTCGAGTGTGTGTTAGAGTTTGTGTTAGAGTTGTGATAGAGTTGTGTTAGAGTTGTGTTAGTTTGTGTTAGAGTGTGTTTTAGAATGTGGTGTTAGAGTTTTGTGTAGTTTGTGTTAGAGTGTGTGTTAGAGTTTGTGTTAGAGTTTGGTGTAGAGTTAGTGTTAGAGTGTGTGTTAGAGTGTGTTAGAGATCGTGTGTATAGAGTGTGTGTTTAGAGTTTTGTGTTAAGTTTGTGTTATAGTGAGACTGTAGAGTATGTGTTAGAGTGTGTGTAGAGTTTGTGTTTAGTGTGTTGTATGGGTTAGTGTTAAGGTGTGTTCGAGTTGTGTTTGCATTTGGTATGTTAGAAGATGTGTTAGAAGTTGTGTTAGAGTGTGTTTTAGATCTATGGTTAGATGTATGATAGAGTGTGTGTTAGAGCGTAGGATAGAGTTTGTGTTCGAGTTTGTGTTAGAGTAGATTTTTAAGAGTTTGTGTTAGCAGAGTGAGTAGAGTTTATGTGTAGAGTTTAGTTTAGAGTTTGTGTTAGAGTTGTGTTAGAGTCTGGTGTTAAGTTATGTGTTAGAGTTTGTGGGTGAGTTGTTTAAGAGTTGTTTTTTAGAGTTTGTGTTAGAGTGTTGTATAGCGTTTTGTGTTAGAGTGTGTGTACGCCGTTTGTGTTAGAGGTTTGTGTTAGAGTTTGGTGTGATGATGAGAGGCGTTCCCGAAAAGTGCACTGAGCGTTTGGGAGAAACCAAAACAAGTGGTGTTTGAAACGACTGGAGCGTCACCGACCGATGTTCAATAAGTGACAACATTGTTTTTGGACAGTTACTCACCTTTATTTGTTTTGGAGATTTCTCATAAAAAGCCCCAGTTTCCACCAGCCTACGCTACTCGACTCTACCCCCTAAAAAAACAACTCTACTCTACTCGACTCTACTCTACACTACTCTACTCTCACTCTCCACTCTAAGAACATTTGCTCCTTGAGGTGTATTCAGATTGAAGTCGTCAAGTGTGAGAGTTTCATCCAAAATCGGCTCAAGGCAATTTATTTGTCAATAAACTTCCAGAGTAACCGCTGGAGCTTGACCCCTGGTCATCAGCCCACGCCAAAGAATTAAAATTGTTGGTCATTGTGGTGGGCCCACAGGAGGCCGTGGGCCCACCTCAATACCAAAATTTTAATTCATTTTGCCGTGGGTCTGAAGAACAGGTCAGCTCCCACGTTTACTCTGGAAGATATTAGACCGAAATAAATTGCCTTGAGCAAATTTAGATAAATCACACCTGACGACTCAATCTGAATACCCATCAAGGAGCAACATATCTAGAGTGGAGAGTAGAGAGTAGAGTAAGTAAGATAGAGTAGAGTAAGTAGAGTAGGGTAGAGTAGATAGAGTAGGGCTGGTGGAAATGGGGCTCCCATGAAAATCTCCAAACAATAAATGTGAGTAAACTTTCCAAAACAACGTTGGGTCACTTATTTGAACATCTGGGGTCGTGACGCCTCCATTCGGTTTCAAACACCACTTGTTTTGGTTTCTCCCAAACGCAGCTGCACATTCTGACGCCTCTCCTACCACACAAACCTAACACAAACTCTAACAACAAACCTAACACAACACTCTAACACATACCTCTAACACACACTCGACATGGGGGGGGGGGTGGCAAACCTAACACACACTCTAACACAAACTCTAAACACACACTCTAACACAAACTCTAACACACACTCTAACACAAACTCTAACACAAACTCTACCACACACGCTAACACAAACGCTAACACCACCTCTAACACTAACTCTAACACACACTCTAACACACAACTCTAAACAATAACGCAAACCCACACTCTTACACACACTCTAACACCCACTCTAACACAAACTCTAACCACACGCCGGGGGGGGGTGGGGGGGGGGAACACTAACTCGAATACAAACTCTAAACACACACTCCTAACACAAACTCTAGACACACACTCTAACACAAACTCAACACACACTCTAACACAAACGCTAACACACACTCTAACACAAACCTAACACACACTCTAACTCAAACTCTAACACACGACACGAACACACACTCTAACACACACTCTAACACAAACTCTAACACCACTCTAACACAAACTCGAACACAAACTCTAACACAAACGTCAACACACACTCGAACACAACTAACACAAACCTAACACACATTCAACCACATCTCTAACACAAACGAACACACACTCTAACACACACCTAACACAAAACTCTAACACAAACTCTAACACCACTCTAACACAAACGTCTAACACAAACTCTAACACAAACTCAAACACAAACTCGAACACATACTCTAACACACACGTCTAAACACACACTCTAACACACACTCTACGAACACAAACTCTAACCACTTTCGTACACACCACTCTAACACACACTCTAACACAAACTCTAAACACACTCTCTAAACACAAACTCTAACACACTCTCAAACACAAACTCTAACACACACGCGAACACAAACGCCTAAACACACACTCCTAACACAACTCAAACACACACTCTAACACTAACTCTAACACAAACTCTAACACACACTCTAACACAATCTCTAACAAACACCTAACACAAAACTAAACACACTCGAACACAAACTCTAACACAAACTCTAACACACACGCTAACACACACTCTAAACACACACTCTAACAAAAACTCTAACACACACTCAAAACACAAACTCAACACAAACTCTAACACACACTCTAACACAAACTCTAACACACACTCTAACACAAACGCTAACTCACACCTCTAACACAAACTCTAAACTCACACTCTAACACACTATCTAACACACACTCTAACACAAACCTAACACACACACTAACACAAACTCTAACACACACGCTAACACAAACGCTAACACAAACTCTAACACACACTCTAACACAAACACTAACACACACATCTAACACACACGCTAACACAAACTCACCACAAACTCGAACACTCACCTCTAACACAAACTCTAAACACAACTCTAACACACATTTCGAACACACACTCTAACAAACTCTACACCAAACTACCACACACCAACACAAACTCGAACACAAACTCTAACATCAAACTCCTAACACACACTCTAACCAAACACTAACACAAACTTAACACACACGCTAACACAAACTCTAACACACACGCCTAACACAACCTCAACACAAACTCTAATAACAAACTCTAACACAACTCTCTAACACAAACTCTAACACAAACCTAACACACATTCTAACACACACTCTAACAAACTCCGAACCTCAAACTACACACACTCGAACACAAACCTAACACAAACACTAACACAAACTCTAACACCACACTCTACACAAACGCTAACACAAACGCTAACACACACTCCTAACACAAACTCTAACACAACTCTACACAAACTCGATCAACAAACTCAACACACACTCTAACACACACTCAAACACACACTCTAACACAAACTCAACACTCATTCTAACACACACTCGAACACACACTCTAACACAAACTCTAACACACACTCCGAAACAAACTCTACCACACACTCTAACACAACTCGAACACACTCTCTAACACAAACTCTAACACACTCTAAACACAAACTCTAACACACACTCTAACACAAACTCGAACACAAACGCTAACACACACTCTAACACAAACTCTAACTCACACTCTAACACAACTCTACACACACTCTATCACAATCGTCTAACAAAACTCTAACTCACAGCTAACACACACTCTAACACAACACTCTAACACAAACTTCTAACACACACTCTAACACAAACTCTAACACAAACTTCTAACACACCACTCTAACACAAACTCTAACACACACTCTAACACCAACGCTAACACAAACCTCTAACACACACTCTAACAC